GAACAGGTAATAAATTAAAAATTTTATATTAGTAAAGAACACCTACTACCAGGTAGTTACATGCCTAGGAAATTATGATAAAAAAGTTCAAATCCAAGTTTTCTGTATTGAGGAGACCTACCTGGTAAATTAAAGTGCCTATATTTTCATTTAGAAGAATTCATCACAGATGAATTGTTTAAGAGAAGTAACCTTGTTGAATCTTTGAGACTTTAAAGTTGAGATTAATTATGGACTTTCTATGAACTTTCTGGTGTGACTGAGTTCATGGAATAGCCAGTTACCTTGGGAGATTAGAGTTACCTCCCCACTTCCTGTTTCATTAACCACTGTCAGTCTACCATCCGGATGTCAGCGTTTGATTGGTTGATATTGAACACCAATACCCCATCTGTCTATAACAGAGAATTCCCCAATAAGTAGGTCATCAACAATACTTACTGTTGGCAGATAGAATTCAGGGATAGATCCAAGAAATAAAAGTGTAAATCAATAGAGGTCATACAGTCACAGTCCAGGAGATGCCCAGGGGGAGATACAAATTAAATCTTTGAATGTATGTACATTAAGCAATGATAGGCAATGCCTTATTGCAAGAACATGTTCATTGTAATTGCATATTTCTTCTGCGTATACATATTAAAAGTTTAAAAAAATCAAATTTATTTGTCATAGCATATAATGTTGGGGTCTGAATTTTCCTTATTCTACATTCAACTTGCCGTCTTCTATCACTTGTGTATTATTGACAGATGAAATGGATGAAGAGAAATATGGTATGCCAGTATTGAACTTTGTAGTGTTTGTTAATAGCAGAAATGTTAAGGAGAGATTTCCGCTGCGGAGTAAACATTTTTTTTTTTATTATGTTGTATAGAATGTAGCCAAATCAATAGAATGCTCCTATTCTGTTACTTATTGTGGAGAAATATAGCAGAGAATTAATTGAAACTATATCACACTGTATTTATCTCTTTGGGTTTGGAGTGTTATGAATCAGGTTGTACTAATGCACTAAATGTAGGCCTATATATTTAGCATTTAGATGTGACAGCATAAAGGTCTGTGGAAAAGGTCCTTTACATATGGACCAAGATTGAAAACAGAGAGAATATGCATTTACTGTTTTTCTGCAAAAAAATCCAGGAAAACGATCAAAGCAAAAGTTGAACATTTTCTTCATGGTCATCTATTACTGTGCAGTCTTTTCCCTATCCTGTCAATGATACATATCTGTATTTCAAAACATGATCACTTTAACGATGAATATCATGAGTGAAAGTAGATGTTGACAACAGTGTACTCTAGATTCCAGGCCATTGAGTTGTTATGACCAGGCCAGCTGTTTGTTCCTTTGTTTTTAAGGTTGGCATAATGAGAACGTTACTTAGGGCGGAGATCAGCTGTTGATATTCCAGAGTCGGTTGGTTTCAATTAGTCTGCTGTCAAACCATCAACATCTATTGCTCTGACATAATTATATCGCATTCAGCGGCCTCCTGAGATGTCGTCAATTTCCTGTGTAAATGCCTTATGGGTCTGTTCTGGAATAATTTACATGTTGTCAATAGGACCATAGAAATAAGGCGATTAAATGAGAGTTGGCACATTGATGGTTTATTGACTAAAATGTTGGCTAGGCCTCCTCAAACAGAATCAACAGATTTCATTAAATTTGAGAAAAGAAGTTCAAGGCCTGGTGCTAACATGGGATTAATTTATATCAATTGATCCGATTCCATGAAATGAGAAATAATTCGGTTTCCACTGCCAAATGAAATGTGTCAGATTGTTCCGAATATTCTCAGCAATTGTCCATGTAGAGAGCTTCCTGTGAAATAATATGGAGACAAATGAATTTCACTGAAAGTGTATGCCAGGAATCGATAATGAAAATTCATCAAGGCATAATTACGCAGGGTAAAAAAGTCCTCAATTCCCACCGTGCGTTGTAGGCATAGAAAAGCAAATTGCTAAATGAAAATTATACATTAAGTCTAATGAATTGCTGAAACCATAAAACTGGCTCAAGCACTAGCTTTTCATCTTACACTGGTCAGCATGAATCTACGACAAATATAAATTACATTGGGACTGTGGTTCAGCCTGTATGTATTTTGTTTCTTCTCTTTGTAAAAAAAAGGAGAGCTGGCATGGCTTTCTTCTATCAGTATTTGCTTTTGGTTGTCTCACCTTTGGTCTTATTGATATACGGTACATGTATATTTACATCCTCTAAATATTTTCTCATTTCTTTCATATGAAACCTAATATCTGTTAATCTTTAAACAATTTTACATTTTAAAAGCCATCTTTAATATGAATTAAGGTTTCTAATAAGTGGACTTTTCCTTTAATGTTGATAAGTAATTTTAAAATTAAGAAAGCAATACCTTACACATTTTTCATCCATTCATCCATACTATAAAATATAACTGTAAAATACAGGGATTTATGCTTCCAATCATTCCAGAAAATTTTAATAACCACCTTACATTAAATACTACAAATGTTCCATTTGAGTTAACATATTAAGAATCCATTTGATTGTGTAATAAAATATATCATTTAACCATTTGATCCACCAGAAGGTAATTTTGTGTACATCATTTTAACACTGTAGTCACATGCTCTTTTATTTTCCATGCATGTATTTTGATAAAGGTCTCATTTTGAATGTTTTGATTAAATTATAAACCTTATGAAATTTTGTTTTAATTTCAGTCGATATTATGATACTGAGGCCCTGATAGCTGACCCGGTAGATGGACCAATATTTGCCTCTCTTCTGGGTGTGTATCACTTCAGCTCTTCAAAGCTCTTTCATATTTTTCTATCTAAAGTTGCAGGGAAGATTAAGATATTTGCATTACAATTCAAAGATAAAGATAAGTTGGGAACATACACAAAATGAAAAAAAGAGTATATATGGCTAATATGAGAAAAAGCCTTGTTTTATGTGAAAAATGATGATGAAAAAGATGCATGTCTTAAAAATAAACACCACATATCATTTTGAATTTAACTTCAATATATGTTTTTATTAATTTAAAGTTGGTCCTTGTGCCCTGGACTACACGAAGATGAAGACCACAGATCACTTTTGGACAGATCCCCCCGCTGATGAATTGGTGCAGCGCCACAGGATACATTCCAGCACTAACCACCTGACGGGACCAGGCTCACCTAAACGGCCGGGTCTGCAGGTATAAAAAGAGAAAGCAAAAGCAATGTTATTATTGTCATGAGTAGATCATTAAATGCATATTTATAAACAATTTTTTTTTTCTTATTAAATCTATAAAACCTCTTGTTACCTGCCAGCCTGTACCATGTTTTATATTTTAGCCGATGACAAATTTTCAGATGAGGAACACCAGCTCTAGCAGTGAGGAGAGTTCTAAGAGTTTCCATCACTCCGCTCGGGACTATGTGGAATCGCTCCACCAGAACTCCAAAACAACTCTACTGTATGGAAAAAACAATGTACTGGTTCAGCCGGTAAGTACAACAGATAAAACTAATCTGCCTAATTCTTACCTCTAGTAACCAAAGGTGGGAAAAGCTGATGTAATAGCAAGGTGTCTTGTCTATATGTCTGTGTGTTTATGTGACTGACTGTCATTTTGTCTGGGAACAATTTTTGAAAATGGTACACACTCCTACAGTTTTGTTGTAATTTCACTAAAAATTATTACATTACACTAAGATACTTAATTTATGCATCCATTTTTAATTTGATGAATTTGCAAATGTAAATATTGTTTTTTGTGTGATGTTTCAGAGAGAGGACACCGAGCCATTAGCGGGTTACTTGTCCCTCCATCAATCGGCCGAGGGTCTGACCATCATGTGGACACCTAATCAGCTGATGAATGGATGTTGTGAGGACACAGATGATGAAATTGATCGCAGGTAAAAAAAAAAATAATGAAATCTTAACGAGACATTTCTTTGTTAATGTCCTACTTAGTATCTTCCATGTTGTGAAATTTTTTCCCATTATTGATGTTTTTTGTGTTGATGTACATCACAAACTATTTTTATACACTGTAAATGTGGTTTTTACAGTTTAAGCCATCTTGGGCTTGATTGAGGTAATGTTTTAGAAGCTGTTCTTTGTCTTATACAGGTAGAATTTTGTGTCTTTGGGTCTGTTGTAGATTTGGTACAAGGGTTTGTATGTACATAGATATCATATAGAGCACGATTCATCACAAACTAACAAACCATTCACATTCATATAATGCAGTAGCCTTCTGATTCTTTAACTTAGATTTACTTGTTCAGTGAGTTCAAGAAAACTAACTACAACTCAGAGATTATGTGATTTTGTCCCTTTCCTGTTGACACAGTTTTCAATGCAGTTTGACCAGACAGCTTTTTATGGAGTACCCAGTGAATTAAAAATAAATTTATACTTAATTTTGTCTGACATGCTAAAAATTAATCTCTGTTGCAGTATTTCCTGTTTGTGTGAAAGGGTTTATAATGCCCTTATGTTTTTGTTGGAAGCATGTTAGGTGTGATATTGGATATGGGAGTCAGCATGATGCGAGAGGAAAAAGATGAACTTTGACATAAAATATCTGTTAATAAATAGAATCTTGCATTACAATAAAAAAACATAGCATCTTAGTTATTTCTGGATTATTTAAACCATGTTATGGAAATATACTCTAGAATTTTGGACCATTAAGCATCATCTAAAAGACTTATAATTAACCTTTCTGATAAGAAAGATTGTTTTCAAAAAAGAATCCTTTACCTAATAGATTTTATGATGATATGATATTGTTTTATTTCAGCCTGTACTGGGACTATGCTTTAACTGTGTACCTAGATGAAATAGTGTATATCCACTGTCACCAGCAGCGTAAGTCAACATTCCCTTTATGGAAAATACATTTTTCTGTTAAGGTTGTGATTTTGTTCATGTTCCTGCTTGACTTTTTGGTTTTTGTTTTCATTTTTTCCCTTTTTCATGAAATTTAATTTCCTTCCTTTGTTTGGTGTTGTGTTTATGTTTCTATGTTCTGTTTTGTCATATTTTTTCAGATTCTTTATTTCGTAAGTACGTTTATCTCCTGTTTGAATTCCTATTCTGATCTTGTGTATTTATGCCCTCATTATTGAGTTACTTCCCCTTTGTTTTACAGCTGACACTATTGAATTACTTACCCTTTGTTTTACAGCTGACACTATTGAGTTACTTACCCTTTGTTTTACAGCTGACTGTGGTGGCACCATTGTATTGGTGGGTCAGGATGGGGTACAGAGACCCCCAATCCATTTCCCAAAAGGAGGGCACCTGCTGGCATTCCTCTCCTGTCTTGAGAACGGTATCCTACCCCATGGACAGCTGGACCCCCCTCTCTGGTCACAAAGGGGTAAAGGTACACAAACATATTTCTGATAATAGTGCCAACTCAGAATATGCTTATCTGTACACATAGCTTCTGCTTGTAGGCTTTTGTAAGCAATAGACATCACTGATTTTCTGCTTGTTTTGGCACTGGTGTGATTTCTATCTATATAAATTTTCCATGTATTTACCATTATAAAAGTTGTATTAATCTGGCTTTGTGGTTGCTCACTGAAGAAGATTTTTCTCTACAGTTTATGCTTATTTCTATCCCAAAATTTTTATTCAATTAGTAATATTGTTCAAAACTGCCTTTTTTTATGTATTTCCATACAGAACACTGCTTGATTTTTTTTTTCAGTGAGCATGAAAAAATTAATTAATCAGGAGTCCTTTGCATAAATTTATTTTATTTCAGAAAATATTCTGTATAGAGGCACTACTGGAGAAATAAGTTTGCAGTCCTTCTCTCTTGTCACTGCACAATGCATTTTCTTAAACTTTGTATGAAAAAGTTTTTGCAAACAGAACACATATTTGTTCTACAAGCTTACTGACAATGTATGTACATTAAGTAATAGCTCTAGGTCTTTGTTCAGGCAAAGTCTTCCCAAAACTGAGAAAGAAGGGGAGTCGACTCTCTCTGCTTTCAGGCAGCACGAGTTCCACAGGAAGTAGCACGAGTTCTAGTGCTGACGAGGAGGAGGCCACAGATTACGTGTTCCGCATCATCTCTACGTGCCGACCCGACAGCATTCGTAAGGACTTACGCAGTGTTATTATCTGTATCATAGAATATTAATGTTGATAGTGCTTGGTCATAATTGTTTTCAATATTTCCTCAAGCATTATTTTTTATTGACATTCTTGCAGAAAATTTAATATCATCTATTTATCTAATATCATCTATCACAACTCAGAGTCAGTGCTATAACTATGAAACTAAACAGATAATTTTTGCCAGGCCTTATTGATGGTCATTTTAAAACCATAGCAGTAAATGACTAAATCTTGTTTTGAATGACCTTTTAGACTTAGTCACATTATGGTTGTAATGATTTACCTTCTTATTTATCCAATATGCAAACACTTATAAATCACCATTTTAAGAAATATTTACTAATATATCCTGTATGTTTCCACAGCTCCAGAAATGATGGACCCTAAAGTGAATGTGAAGGGAGACTACTCCTGGGCTAACAAGATTCCGCGAGCTCCTGCTCTGGTGGACTCGTCGTCCGTACAAAGTTACGCCAAAATCCAGGAACAGCAGAACAGCTCCTGTCTGAATAAGTCAGCCACAGATCACAGGTATCAAATGTGCGTAACTCAGGCCCAAGTTTTACCTACAGTGTCGAGTCACAATGTTGTTGCCATGTGTCACTGGTATCAGTTTTCTTATTGTAATACTTTTGTCAAATTACTCTCTCTGCATCTATGAAGGAAAGTTTGTCTTTAAATGAGGCAGCTTGTTCACTGTCAATTTTACATTATTGTATACCTCGTGCTATCTTCTATCATAGTTCCATGTTGTGACATGTCTATAAATAATGCCAATTATATTGCAACATTTTCCTGTTTAATTTATTTACACTTTTCTAAAGTGTCGATATATCTATTTGTTTCAGGGAGTTGATTGATAGTGGCTAGACTGAATTATTAATTTCTGTAACAGTAATAATTTTTCATGGGGAATTAATTTAAATTACTGTATGTTATTTCTTTCAGTGTATCTGTTGCATGATTCAAATCTGTGAAACATTTTATTTACATTTTCCTCTTGGCATATGAAAATTGTTTTTTTTTTTAATTAATCTTTTGATCAAAAGTCAAGATTATTTACATAACCATTATAATGCAATAACTGGGATAATTTTTTTTTTATGCACAATCTATTGTAAAATCACTAATTATTGGGTCAAATTTTTGTAGTTTGAAGAAACACAATAGGTGTATGTGGGTTTGATTTCATGAGTGAAGAATTCTTGAGAAGTAATATGCATATGACATTTTACATTGTGTTGTGGACACAAATTTCTGAGCCACTCCAAACCTTGAAAACAGCAAAAAATAACCCTCTTCTCTCCCTGCCATGAATATTAGTGATTTTACATGTGTATTCACTACATATAAAATAAATATTAATTTACTAGAAGAAGCCTACTCTTGAATAAAAGATCAAGACTAGTGATCATTCTGTTAAATATTTAAGCGATGCAGTACAGTTAGGTACTCTGGAATATGTAAGGAAGTGAAAGATTTTTTTAAAAATCATAACATATAAATGATTTATGCTTATGTTGCAGGACAACAATTAAACATTTATGTGACACGATGAAGACTCAGATTATCTCTAGGGCCTTCTATGGATGTAAGTACCATTTAATCATGTTTTGTTATACATATATATTCCAATACATTTATTAACTTTTTGGCAAAATTACTTAATCTGCAGCCAAATTAAAATGAGACTTGGATTATTTTAATGCTTTTAATGTTATTTGCTTCATTTTAATGCATTAAATGTCATTTGCTTGCTTCTGAAATTACATTAATCATTGGTATAATTGTATGTTCTCAATGAAATATTTTTGAAATAAAAGAAGATTTCATCTATATGTATGCATGCGTAATAAGTTCAATGCATGATTATATTTAGGGCTTGCCCATTGCCGACACTTAAAAACGGTTAGAACCCACCTGTCTGAGTTAGTTCTACACCGGATTGTCCCGGCCAGCATTCCTTATGACGCTTCTTGTGGGCTGACACAAAGGACGTGGAGGGAACTCAATCAGAATGGATCAGTAGGATCATAACTATTCTTGTTTTGTATGAAATTTGTTCTGGAAAGACTTTGGTCAGATTGATCTCTGACTGTGAAATTTTACTCAAAAAACTATGAAAAATAAGATTTGTTTGTGTTAACACTCTTGCAAATGTTTGAAAATTTGTGTTAACACTCTTGCAAATGTTTGAAAATTTTCAAGCTGATCTGCTAAATTGTTCTTAATATAATGATGAACTGCCAAGAAAATTCTTGGCATAAACACACACTAGTTGTAAATTAAGTGACAATTGTGATCATTCTGGGTTTCCCAGCTGCTGATTTTTAGTACTTGAGAGGGATGGGCAACCTTAATGCACTTTTTGTGCTCTTTGATTGAACTGATTTCCTCCTATGATACTTAATTGACATTGTAGACCAAATGTCTAATCTGTAATTGACAGGTGTCTAATCCAGAAGAAGTCTACAGACTTGTTTATTATGGTGGAATAGAACACTGCATCAGGAAAGAGGTCAGTTAAAAGAATCAGAAGTAAAGTGCTACTTTCAGTTCTGAATAATTCTAATGTCTATTTTTGAACACTACCTGTGCAGTAAACCAAATATGAGACTAGTACATTTAGTATCTATTTTATTTTTCAGGTTTGGCCATATCTCCTGGGTCATTATTCCTTCAAGAGTACAGAGGAGGAGCGGCAGAGAATAGACAGCCATGTGAAGACTCTGTATGAGAAGACGATGTCTGAATGGCTGGCAGTGGAGGCCATTGTAAGACAGAGAGAGAAGGAAACAATGGCTGCCAACATCCTCAAAAACATGTCGTCTGAGAGCACAGACATGGCACTGCCTGGGCCTTTTACTCGAGGAGACTCGAGTCTGAGTAATGATGTGTTTGAGTCCCTGGATGAGTGGGACAACATCATGACCCAGGAGACAGTCATAGAGGAGAGCTCCACCACAGGGACTACATGTACCCCCACCACAGACAGGAAGCAGAGTCTGGAGCTCCACCTACAAGGGGAGATAATTACAGTGGAGGAACAAATCTCACAAAATATCAAACTGAATAAAAGAGATTATGTGTGTAAGTCTTTCTCTGAGAGTCCAGACGATGGACTTGGGGACTCTATAGCCCCGCACAGTTCTCAGGAGAGATCCAAACTGGACTCAGCTGAGGATTCTGAGGGTACAGACTTCTTTAAGAGTGACAGGGATGGAAGCTTGGAGCGAGCTGTTCACCTGACTAAACTCTCCTGTTCTTTAGACAGTGCCGAGGCTGATGTAGAGGAAGTGAGTGATGATAGTAGTGATGACGAGGATAGCGATGTGTCGTCAGATCAGGAAATGACAGAGGGCACAGCCAAGTCTACACTGGGACCAACAACAACAGGTAAACTATATAGTCATCATTTTAAAAGATGAAACTTATTTTGAAGAATTTGGTATCATTGACTTTTATTTTCAAGAAAAGAGATACTATGTTTTACTTATTTAGTTTACTTTTTTTATGTATATACACATATTGTTTTCTTTAGAACAAAACAGAAGACTGTCAGCTTCTAAGGAGAGTTTGATTTCCCTGGCCTCCCCAGCCTCACACGGAGGAGTGTACTCAGTGAGTATATCACAAGTAGTAACAATTTCTGAAAAACAGTTAACATTAGGTCAGGCCAGATGGACAATCTGTAATTCTGAAGGTTTGAAGGAAAAGTGTATGACTAAATACCTTGTAAGAAACATCAAATATTTGTAGTCACTGTTGATATACCAGTACAATGTGTTTAGAAATTGTATTGAAAGGGTACAAGGAGAGACAACCTCTAAAATGTTTGTTTTGTTTTATCTAAACAAACAGACACTTATGATCTTGTTTGCCAGAAAAAGCAGAAAAAAATAACTGCAATTTATTTCTATAAAGGATATAAATACAATAATGTCATGTATATCAGTAGTATATCAGAAAATATTTGAAATATCAACAGTTACAATAATTTTACAGTATACAGATTTTGAGACATGAAGACAGTAGTTTTTAATTCTCTGTTCCAGGCAGAAATGTTGGACACTGTTGGTCTAAATCTCCACAGAATAGACAAAGACGTACAGCGGTGTGACCGTAACTACTGGTACTTCACGCCAGCTAATCTGGATAAACTCCGCAATATCATGTGCACGTAAGTCTGATTACAGCTTAATCAATGGCGAGTGTTGTTGGCTGTGATAATTTTTAATCTAACAACCATTATTGTATTGTTTTCTGTTTTAAAGGTATGTATGGGAGCATCTTGATGTTGGTTATGTGCAGGGCATGTGTGATCTTGTGGCACCACTTCTAGTCATATTTGATGATGGTAGGATATCAAAATAAATCATGTAGTACCTATAGGTTTCAGAAAATAAGGGACCAGCTACCAGGGTAATATGGATTTATTGTAATTCTTCCAAGGTCAATATATCTGGACAGTCAAAATTTTACTTGACACATTTCCCTTTTGACTTGTATATACAGTGTATTCAATGAAAATATATGTCGAAGATTAATATTATTTATGGTGATGTAAATTCTTGGGTAAATGTAACCCACAAAATCCTTAAAGATTGGTCCCCCACTAATTATGATAATAGTAGTTTTAATACATGTTGATGTTGTTGACAGAGTCTTTGACCTATAGCTGCTTCTGTGAGCTAATGAAGAGAATGTCTGCTAACTTCCCCCATGGAGGAGCCATGGACACACACTTTGCCAACATGAGATCTCTAATTCAGGTAAATACTCTGTCAAAGTATTGACACGTAACCTAGATCTTATGTGGATTAAACAGGATGTCTTCTCTCACTATTGAAAGAAAATGATCATTATTTTCTAGAATATGTTTTTTGATGTTTTTTTTAAATTGAATAGATTTTATATTTGTATTTCAGATTCTGGATTCTGAGCTGTTTGAACACATGCATCACCATGGTGACTACACACACTTCTACTTCTGTTATAGATGGTTCCTATTAGATTTTAAACGAGGTAAGGGGGGTTTTATTGTTTTTTACATAGAGCTTCACATCTCTATAATTAGTGTGCCTCAAATTGATCAATGTGTCTAATCAATTATTTTAACAAACATAATTTATTTTGACTATATGATTAAATAGTTTTATTGTGCTTGGAGAAAGTATCAATCATATGATATTATTATTTCCAGAGCTGATCTATGATGACGTATTCTCAGTATGGGAGACAATCTGGGCAGCTAAGTACATCAGCTCCCCCCATTTTGTGCTATTTATAGCCCTAGCGTTAGTGGAATTTTACCGGGACATCATCCTAGACAATAATATGGACTTTACAGATATCATCAAGTTTTTTAATGGTTGGTTTGTTTGTTTTCTTTTGATTGTTGATTAAATTTATTATAAAGAAGGAAAATTTAAAAGACATTAGAAGTGAACATTTCATTTATTATTTGCTCATTTGGTTTATGTTTACTAGGTATATCTTTTACATACAGAAATGTATAAAAAAAAAAAAATTGTGTACAATATTGCATGTACGAACAAACAATACCGAATGTCTATAGATTTGTTAGTTCGACTCAACAATATGTCTTAAAAGTTCCAATGAAATGTTATCTTTTTTTTGCAGAAATGGCTGAGAGACATAAAGCCAAACAAGTTCTGAAGATTGCTAGAGACTTAATTCATAAACTTCAGACACTTATAGAAAATAAATAAGGAGTTTAGAAGTCAGTTCTCATTGTCATTTAGGAAATTCCCTGAAATTTCATCATTCTGAAAAACAAAGGCTAAAACTTGTAGAAACTGTTCATAATTCAGTTGCCATTGAATAATAACCTTTGGTATTAATATGGTAGAAATCCCATGTTACAAGGTAGTTTTTTCATCTTGTACTGTGGCTTTGCAATTTTTTAAAACAAAGTTGACATACAATGTAGCGTTGTTAATTTACAGTGAATTCTAAGACTGTAAGAAAATGAATTATTTTTTAACAAAGAGTTAAAAATGGCATGTTTACTTGTTTTTTAATATCATGACACAATCTCATTTGTTTTTTTTATTCTGATCTTTTCTCAACAGAATCAGATGCAAAGTTATTTTTTAAATTTGTTACTTTTGCTCAAATACAGTCACAAGGAGAATGACTCTATACAGTGGACCCTCAGATATCCGGACGACAGATATCCGGATGCTTCAGTATCCAGACGACTTTGCCTCGGAACAGAATTTTTTAAAGTTATTTTGTTTTGTTTGACTGGTAATTCAGATATCTGGACGCTTCACATATCTGGACAAATTGACAAGGACCAAAGCGTCAGGATAATTGAGGCTCCACTGTGTATGAGAAAAGTTTTTTAAAAAAGCAATATTTCTGTTTTGAGACATTTGTGAGTTACAACAAATGTTGCAGACTAAATACATGTAGCTGATTCACAGGATGTGAACATAGTTGAGTTATAACTATTGAAAATCTTCAATTCTTCCAATTTATCTTCTTTGGTATTACAATGTATAAAGCAAAGAAAAACTGGAGACCTACACCTTGAGGTTAAAATTACAAAAGATTCTCATGCTTGGTATAAGTTAAAAAAAATTAAAACCTGTTAAAATTCAAAATTTTAGGGGGTAAATTTACAAATGTTACATATTAAAGGAATGACAGGCAGTGTACCCAAAACAAAACAACACATTTTAGTATGATTTGTTTGGTTTTTTAAGCTTTATGGGTCTGACGTCCATCCCTAAGTGTATGTTGTACATGTATCTCAAATGATGAAGTAATGACAACTTTAGCATATAAAGCACACTCTTTTATATAATGCATTTAGATGCCAAAATTGAATCACTTTGTACATGTAATGTTATTTTGATTAATGTACAGGTACATGTAGATAATAAAATATCTATGGTCAATAAAATGGAATACTTTTCACAACAGTGACCTCAGTTCATTAAATTACATAATGTATAAACTTATGTGAACAATATTTAAATTAAACTAATGTGGTTGTGAAAAGCTGTTAAATATATGCTTGTTTTTTTTACAGACATCCTAGTAAATTACCTTCACAATAAGTTATCTGTTTAGATATATATGGCACTCTTTACTTGTGTAGTTTGTTACAGTACATCATGAATTAAGGTGTTCATTTCTATAATTCAAGTCATTGTAAATGTCAATGTATACATAACATAGGTAATCATCAGTACCTGTCAATTCTTCATTAGCTCATGGCAAACAAAACAGATACCTTTCATTTTTAGTTGATATAAGCTTCCCAGTTATACCCACATAGCAAACTTTCCAAATTATAATAACTTACATGAATGTGTATTTCCCCAATAAATTTGGATGGATATACCTCAAAATGCTTGTACTTAATATAGAAGCTATCTAAATAAGTCCATTGCCAACACACATCAAGATAATCATGCTGGTTTCTCCCAATCACAGATCTGAGAATTATAAATAAAACTATTGTTTGTTGTTGTACAGCCTTCTGTGTTAGACTTGTGATTTTGTATAAACTGTTATTATTTATTGACTGTGTTATTGTTGATGATTGAAAATTTAATGTATTAAATACCAGAAACAAACAGAATTTGTCACTTGTTTTGTACAATACCGTATAATCCCTATTAACTGCCCTGGGCCCTTAGAAAATTGTAAAAAGGGGGCGGTTATTTTGGTTATCTCTTTATAATATTTAATGTCATATTTTAAATTCACAAAATCTTTTGGGGAAAAAAATTAATAAAAGGAACCATTAAATAATGTCTAACTTTACTTAAAGTGAAGATAATCCACCCAAATTATGCTAAATTATTCATTTTCCCTTCGAACTCGTAAATTTACTTACCTTTTCATTGGTCATTAGCTCTTCTGAGCCAAAGGCTCAAAGAGCTAATGCTATGGCCATTTGTGCGGTGTGCGGTGTGCGTTAACTTTTTAGAATATGGGCCATAACTCAAGAACCCCTTGGCCAATCAGTGTCAAATTTGTCACAGGGTATCCTTGGCCCAAGGGCTACCCTTTATACTAAAATAAGGGTTGGGACCTTTAAACAAGGGGAGATAATCAGGAAAACAAAACCAAAAGTACTGGTTGCTAAAAAATCTTCTTCTCCAGAACCACCAGGCAGATTTTCACCAAACTTACATACAAGGATCAGGATATGTTGAAGATTAAAAATTGTTCAAGGCATGACCCTGGGGCAAAGGGCGTGGTCTCAAGGTCACTTCAAAGTTGACCTAAATTTACAAATAATAAAAACGTTTATATTTTGCTTACTATTAGGACTAGGATCATCAAATCTTGTAAGTTGATGCATCTCAGGACTTCACATCATGTTAACTCAAAAGTAGGTCACGGTGACCTACTTTTTAAATTTTGTAAGCATTTGTTTTCAAATTGATTTGAAGGCATATTTCGGGCACTTTAAGGCCTATGATCATCAAACTTTGTCAGATGATGCATCTTGGGTCCTTGAACAACGTCAGCTTAAAAGTAGGTCACCGTGACCTACTTTTTGAACTTTATGACTAATTCTTTTTAAAACATTTAATCCAATTATTTCAGACACTAAGAGGTTTAGAATCATCAAATCTTGTAAATTGATGCATCTTGGGACCTTAAAACATATTTATAAAAAAGTAGGTCACTGTGACCTACTTTTTGAATTTTGCAGGCATTTGTTTTTGAATTGTTTAAAAGGCATATTTTGATTACCTTCAGACCAAGGATCATCAAACTTGGTCAGCGGATGCATCTTGTGACTTTGAAAATTTTCGACCAAAATATAGGTCACTGTGACCTAGTTGCAACATTTTATGGTTATATTTTAGTATCTTAGGTATTTATTGGCTTAGAATCATCAAACTTTGTGAGTTGATGCATCTTGGGTTTTCGGATAGTAACGACCCAAAAGTAGGTCACAGTGACCTACTTTTGACATTTTATGGCTTTATTTAAATATCTACAGTACTTATTGGCTTAGAATCATCAAACTTCGTAAGTTGATGCATCTTGGGTTTTCGGAGAATGGTGTCCAAAATGAAGGTCACTGTGACCTACTTTTGACATTTTATGGCTTTATTTAAGTATCTACGGTACTAATTGGCTTAGAATCATCAAACTTTATAAGTTGATGCATCTTGGGTTTTCGGAGAGTAACGACCCAAAAGTAGGTAACGGTGACCTACTTTTGACATTTTATGGCTTTATTTAAATATCTACAGTACTTATTGGCTTAGAATCATCAAACTTTGTAAGTTGATGCATCTTGGGTTTTCGGAGAATGATGTCCAAAAAGTAGGTCACTGTGACCTACTTTTGACATTTTATGGCTATATTTTAGTATCTTAGGTATTTATTGGCTTAGAATCATCAAACTTTGTGAGTTGATGCATCTTGGGTTTTCGGAGAGTGACGACCAAAAAGTAGGTCACGGTGACCTACTTTTGACATTTTATGGCTTTATTTAAGTATCTACGGTACTAATTGGCTTAGAATCATCAAACTTTGTAAGTTGATGCATCTTAGGATTTCAAAGAATGATGTCCAAAAAGTAGGTCACTGTGACCTACTTTCGACATTTTATGGATTTATTTAAGTATCTTAGGTATTTATTGGCTTAGAATCATCAAACTTTGTGAGTTGATGTGTCTTGGGTTTTCGGAGAGTGACGACCAAAAAATAGGTCACGGTGACCTACTTTTAACATTTTATGGCTTTATCTAAGTATGTTTGGTACTTATTGGCTTAGAATCATCAAACTTTGTAAGTTGATGCATCTTGGGTTTTCAGAGAATGATGTCCAAAAAGTAGGTCATGGTGACCTAATTTTTGACATTTTATGGCTTTATTTAAGTATCTATGGTACTAACTGGTTTAATTTTGTTTGTTGATATATCTTTGGTTTTTAGAGAATGTCGACCAAAAAGTAGGTCATGATGACCTACTTTTGAATATCTCAAGGACTTATTGGCTTAGAATCATCAAACTTTGTCAGTTGATGTATCTTGGGTTTTGAAAGAATGTAGACAAAAAAGTAGGTCACGGTGACCTACTTTTAAATATCTCAAATACCGTAGTTGGGGGAATACAATACGCACTTTTTTCCTAAAATGAATTTCTGTGAGAAAGGGATGCGTATTTTACATCACAATGGGATTTTGGTAAGTTTTTCTTTCAGGTGAAACGACTATCATACGTACATACCGTAGTATTACCAAGAGACTTATGCAACTTCTTTTGTTTATCGTCATATTTTAAACTTTGGAAAGTTATTGTTGGGAGGTATGTTTGTTAGAAATAACACTTTCATAATATTTTGATACTAAAATGACATGAAAAAGCAAGTTAAAATTAATTTGAGCTTCATGTTTATCGTCTCTGTGTAGGCCGCCATTACCGATGCTATTTTAAGACATTAACACATTCCTTTGTCACGTGCTTCCGTAATCATAGTACATATGCACCTTATTTGTCTGACAAAGTAATAAGTCATTTTTTTTGATGAAATACAACAAAATAAAAATTTTATTTTAGTTTTTAAATAACTCAGTGAAAATTCACTGCAACACAAACACCCTTCTATACGTCCCATTGAAAAGAAACCAATGTCGTGACACACGTGCGCTGGTCACTTGATAATTACCTCTCAACACCCCTCCAGGCAATTAATTGTCTACCGATGCCAAAGTAATGTTTTTACAGTTATAGCAATGATTATTTTCACTGTCCTTTTAATTGCCTTGATTATTTTCTTTCTTAAAAAGCGAGGGTCGGTTTGTAACCTTTCGTATGTGTGAGCGTGTGTTGTTTACGACACATTAAACAATTAAACACTTGTTAAATGTAATTTTACCTTATCTTATACTTATCGAACCCTTTTTTAAATAATTGAGAGTTAACAAATTAAATATGAAGTATGCTAAAACTTAAGTGTTATCATTTATTCCTGCTCTGTAGAAAATAAAATATCCGCGACGATTCAGAAGAGGAAAATCATAGTCTTCTTAATTTTTAAAATACTTTGATGTTTCAATTTCGTTTTTCCATGATGACCTAGAACCAAAATTTAATATGAACTGTTAAAACTTGCAACAATATCTCATGCTTTGTTGAAATAAAATTATTTCACCAAAGAATATGGCGACGTATTATTTCAAAATCACCGTATGCTTAAAAAATAAATTCTGTTAACACTTTTACGCAACATTATCTTGTGCTTTGTTGAAATTAATGAATAAATAATTTTCTTCATATTGCCGCGATATGGAAATTGCAGATTAAGAAAAAATTATAAATGTGTGTTCTGTAAATTTTTTTTTTTTGACACTTAATCTTCGCGCCGATTTTCGTTACAAATTACCGCGATTTTCAAAGTTCAGAACATCGTTTGGTAAAATTTTCTGTTGCGTATAATACATCCGAACTGCGTTTTTTTTCCCCAGTTCCAGATGCAAAAAGGGGGGTGCGTATTTTACATCAATGCGTATTATATTCGGCCAAATACGGTACTAATTGGCTTAGAATCTTCAATCTTTGTTTATTAATGCATCTTGAGTCCTCAGAAAACTTCAATCTTAATATAGGTCACTGTGATGTACTTATGGTTTTTTATAGCTTTATTAGTTATTAAAAATATTTTCAGTTCTAATTGACTAAGAATCATCAAACTTTGTCAGTTGATGCAACTTGGGTCTAAGGATACTTAGGGTTAGAGGCTTCAAATAGAAGTGATAAATTGTACAATTTATCAGAAAAGCGATTCAAGGCCCTTGGGCCTCTTGTTTGCAAAATGATTTTGTTTGAAAAACACTCTTATTGTACACACAGGTACTCTAAAGTTGACATCAAAAATATGCTTTAATTTCTAATTGACAATATCGATGTTATTTTTGGAGACAGGTCTTCCAACAATCTATTGGAATTTCCATGGATACCAATTGCGCCCCGTTATTAGCAGACCTATTTTTGTATTCATATGAAGCAGAATTTGTGTAAAATCTTATGCGTGAAAAGAAGAAAACACGTGCTGTGGTCTTAATTCAGCTCGACATTTAGATATATATCGACGACGTACTGTCAATCAACAATGGTGCTCTCCATTCTTATGTCGGTACATTATATCCTGATAAGCTTGAGATAAAAGATACCACATGGTCTGACACGTCTGTTTCATATTAGGATACTCTTGAAAAAGATGTAAATGGTAATCTAACAATCAAACTATGATAAACGTGATGATTTTAACTTTTCAATCGTCAACTTCCCTTACATAATATGCAGCAATAGACCTTTCTCACCTACATACGGAGTTTATATCGCTAACTCTCAGTTGATTCGATAAGCAAGAGCATGCTCTACGTATGAACAATTTCTAAAACGAGGTAAATTATTGACAATCAAGTTGATGAAACAAGAATATCAGCGGTCTTGTTGAAAGTCATACAATTAATCATGAATTTGATCTTCTTAGTCTTTCAAGATTAGATTTTTTTTAATTTTATCATCTTAAAAGATACAAACCTGTAGCTTCTGAAGTATTATTAAACACAATAAGTCTATCAACAATAATTTTATTAATATAGAAATGTAATTTTCAATAGAGAAAGGTCTACATATATGTCATGAATAGAAAATACTAGTAGATGCACAGGTACACACAAATATGAAAAATCAAATAATAAAGCTATAACAAATATGATTAATATTTTTTCCAAAGAAAAAAGTTTATAAAGAAATCATTTCAAATGGTTAAATACTAGTATCTATGAAAGACGTCAATGTTTTAGAGGTTACTACACATAGTGTAGCCAATCACAGTCGTAATGATGAAGAGCAATGCCAGGCAGTGATTCGAGCTCGAAACCCTGTGCATAAATCTTCTCTTTGTCACCCTGTCTATTTCTAATTGTCCACAACAAAATAATAAAAGTTATAAAACCCGAAAATTAGAATCTCTCGGGCCGAACAAGGGCCAGAACAGGAGGACACTTAGATCCGCTCCTCTTTCCTTCCCCGTTCAGAATTCCTCGCTTTCCGAAATTGGAAGATTTATCTTTTTTTCGCAGATTGATAAAATGTCATTTTTGTCGTTGAGGTATATAAAAATTAAAGCAGGAAATGTTAATAAACGAAAGCGAAATTTTTCCACCGATGTTTGATCCCCTCCCGCTTCTGCAGTTCCATGCGCTTGGCGTGGATGGTTTCGGACACCCATTCTTTGTGGATGGCGAATGTCGCCGGTCTGCGAGGAATCGTGTTCAGAAAGAAGGTCTCCAGATTCTCCATGTGTACCTTGGGACCCTCCGGTTCTATTTCCGGTTCATCACAGCGTACGTAGTACGGCAGCCTCTGGGTGGTCGGTCTGTAATGAAATATACATTACAAGTGAACAAAGTGTCAAAATGTGTTGAAAATATTTTCCTATACATCTGTGACTTCTCTAAGCACTATTGTGAGCTAGTAGTAATATTTGATGTTAATATTTGAATTAATTTAAGGGTGATTGGAGGGAGAGGGAGGGGGAGTGCTATTAACTTAACATACTAGTTTGAGAGTGACTTGTGCTCCCTCTTCTATACTCTCATCCTATATTTGCATGGAAAAAATTCAAAAGAAATTATGTTGTATCGCTGCACCCTTACTTTATTTTATAAGGATCTCCATGGACCTCCATTCTCCAACCAAACTTTTTGAGGTTTTCGTCATAAAGCTCTTCTGAAGGTTTGATCTCCTCTTCCTCCTCCGGCACTAGGTCATACAGGTCTACAGGGGACGGGGTCTTCGGCCTGAGGATCTTACTGGGGGACGGTGTCCTATAGGTGGCGTCGCGGGAGGGGCCCGCGGATTTGACCGGACGTTGTGGTGCGGTAGGTTTATCCCGCCTGATGACAGCACTTTTGATTCTGTCGCTACGAGAGCTGTATTTGCTTAGATCCTCTGACTTGAACGATGGCGAGGGTGAGGCTGGTTGTGGGGTGGGCCAGGAGTAGGGTACAGGAGAGGCAGGTGGCTGAGGGGTGTAGTTTGTGTAGTTCGTTTCTTCCGTAGCCATAGCCCAGCACTGGTGGGGTGTGGGAATCTGAAGGCGTGGCACAGGTTTGAAGTCGTAAATCGGAGCGCTCTTGGCTCGGACTTGCAGAGAAGGGGTGGATTTCTTTGTAGCCCTGGACTGTGACGATACGGTGGACATGGGACGCTTTGCAGGGGAGGGTGAGGGTCGGAAAGCCCCGGGGGTGCGAGGACTAGGTGGTCTTGGTGCTGTGTAATATTGACTGTCCCTGTACTTGTACATGGCTTCTAATTCTGTAACAAGAACAAAAGCTTAAAGTTACGTTTACATGGTTAATAACACACGAGATGCACAATGTTATTAATGTCTACGTGCCGGGATATATCATAAATTTGTCAAAATATTGATCTATACTTTTGTACAAGGAATTATAAATTATAGAAGAACATAAAGTTCATTGCAACCCCACAACTAATATAAAGACGATGATTAAAAGAGATCCATTGCGTGTCACGGTGTAATGAAAAAATAAAAATATTCTTCCAGAAAATAATAATATGATGTATAATGAATAAGAAAAAAAAACACTTTCTTGGGCAATCTTTAATTCTTTAAGCCACTTTAAGTCACAATTTTAAGCCACTTTGAAATTCAACAATTTCAAGCTTTCTTTCTATATAAAGAAAGTCAACTGAGTACGTCATCCTGGAAACATGATCCTTACCGTTATTTTATTAGGTACAAATTTTATAACAGCATCCACTCATTCAGAAAATAATTGCAATTAAAAGTTAATTTGTATTTTTTTTTTTACTGAATTATGATAAGGATAAGTTAATTGAATTGTATGATGACCTGCAGGAACAAGGAAGTCTTAGTTTGGTAATACCCCTTCACCTAACAACCCTTCCTACAGACATGCGTATTATCCATTTTGTCAGATAAAAAAGGTTTATGCGCGATACGTTCGATAGTCTAAGAATAATCTAAATATGAAAAAAAAGCTCCATATCTTCGGTATAAAAAATGATGTTCTTATAAAAAAAAAGAAAGAAAGAAAAGTGCAAGTGGAAGTACCCCACATGCGATAACTTCTTTAAAGCAACTATTTTAATGGTCAATGCGATATCTCAAAAGAAGGAAAATACTCACGGTAGGCATTGGGAGCGCCCATCCTGCGATCCTTGTAAACGTCCTTCTGAGAAGGATACCAGCCGTAGGTCTGCTCCTTCATGGCGGCTGGCAGGGAAAATCTAAACAAAAAAAAATGAAATCGTACACTACGACCTGAATATGAAGGATTTATATCGTACAGTATAATCCGAATATGAAGGTTCTGTATCAGTAATTTAGAGGTACAGTATAACCCAAATATGAAGGACTTATATGAGTAATTTATCGGTACAGCTTAGCCCGAATATGAAGGACTTGCATGAAATGGATAACAGATGCCTCATATACTTTTCCTCCTAATGTTACACTGGTTGAGCAAATGGACTCGAGTAAAAATGTTCATAAGCATGATACATACAAACTTACATCATAATTGTACAATATTTCAAAGAACGTAAAGGAGACAGGGATTTAATTCCAGGCACAACATTCGATATCCGTGAAAACTGTGTTATGATACCTGGGTGTCTTCAATACACAACTTAAACCATAAAATCACCCATGTCAGCACCGTAAAAAACAATAGATCTCTTAATATCAGCTCTAACGGGAACTAATTTGGCACAGTATACGATCTGATTCCGATATAACTTCCAATAGGAGAATTCCTCTTTGTCGTTCTTTGATTAGCTTATCAGCAATCTTTTAATGAACATTCGGTGGGTAATTTGATATCAGATCAATTGTCAAAAAAATTGTTCAATTTCAAAACCATTAAGACAGAAGGTTGTCGATAAAATCCATTCTTTGAGATAGCTCGAAAAGTTGGTAAGGCATTATAAGGGTCTTATTTCGTTAAAAACGAAACTGTTTCACAATTCTCTTAATATTTGTGTTACCAGAGAACAAAGCGAATATGTGAAACAAAAGGCGAATATATTGATCTAAATTAGGCCGTTTAAAGGTTTTACAACGTACGGATTTCCGATAACAAATTGTTCTTTGATTTTTTTGGTTGTCTTTTTATCTTGCTAACTTAATAATTTTCCACATCATTAGGTACCTAACAATTATGTAAGATACAGATTTTCCATATAAAGTAGAGATGACCATAATTATTTTCAAGATTATTTCGAATTAATTATAAATATACATTATACCTTAACAACGCAACCTACCGAAATTGAAAAGAGTCACGAAATGTTTATTATAAATCCCGAAAGATTTAGTGCAATTTGAAACTAGTACGCTCATGTTTTTTGACAGAAATTATACAGATCATACATATCAAAAACAATGCTGTGAGTATCTGTTGATACATGTGATACAGGAGTTTGTCTATTACCGTGGATACTAAATATTTAAACATTAAATCTGTTAATACTTTAGTGCAGTGCGCCTTACCTGAACGATCATCTACAACCCGAAAAACCAATCTGGTCCATAAAATCAACCGATAATCTCTTAAAATCAGAGTGTTGATGGCAACGCCAGCAATAATATCGACATTTGCTGCATCAACAATGAGCAAGTGATAGAGAGAAGACAAAGGGCGGGAAAAGGATAAAATGACGGGGAATCGTCAAAACACAGATCAGAAACAATTCACGCTGTATCGGACCAAAAACGATATCGATAAATCAATTCATTATTTTGTTTGCCCCCTGTCTCTAACTATCTATACTAAACAGCGCTACCGTGATTAATTATATACATATACTAAAGCCCGTTTTCTTAGAGAGCTTGTACTCCAAAATTCATTTAAATTTTAGACACAAATTCTTTTAGACCGTGCATGCGGTATTATCCTTTTCTAATTAAGTCTAGATACATGGATATCTTTCCACATTCTGAGAAGATTAACAAAAATGATCAATATCCCCTCAACAAGAAAAAAGAGAGAAGCTGAGCAAGTATTAATTAGTTTCTTTGCTAATTAAATACCCTTAAAACTTCTGATCGATTGAAGTCCACATGAAACCTATACAGGACTTCGGTTTTTCTCCATAACGATTTCTTTGGGGGAAACTTTCATTACACTGAAATGAATCCGAACACGTTTAGTGCATTACTGCAGGGTTTTTGAATCGGGCTATCCCGGATACAAAGTTATTCACGAATCATCCATTTAAATGTGTGTTTTATTTTTGAGCAGATAAAGACCTTGATCCGAACATCAAAGAACGGTAGAGGGCGTCGTGAATATAAATCAAACTAGAGGATAAAAATATATATTGTACATTTGAAAATTAAAACCATTCTGGCGACATTAAACTCTGTGACTCGTAGTTCTGGACTTTTTTTTGGGCAAAAACCATTACATGTAATTTAATTATAGATATTTATACATGGTCTTCTTGGGAAATTAAATATACGCTCTTTTAAATTCAAGGCCTTTTATCAAACAATCGAGTTTTAAAAGTCAAAATGTATCCCCCAAAGTGGTTTTTAATTGTATAGCTAGTACCTTTTAATTTCATATAGTTTTTTGACATACATGTATAGCAGCTTCAGACCCGAATTCTGAATACACTGTATGTTTCTTCACAACTTTGTTCTAGATTATATTATTTAATCCAACAATTAATCACATGTTTACCAGAAATATTTTAAATGGATTGCATTGTACGTTTTTGTCCATTATTTTTCTCAGTAAGAATCTAAAAGTCAGCTTGTGAATTGTGAAGAAATATTAGCATCCTGTATTTAGCCAACCCTTTAATGAAATTTATCTTCAAATATATGTTTTATTTTTATAGGGAAAACGGTTTATGAAAATGTCTCGCACAACTTCGATAACCCTGTGAACTTAGCAACACTTAAATGTACGTGTATGTTCTATTGATCTGTTAGAATTTCTGTCCCTGACAATTCATGCCCCCTGTAGACGAGATACATAGAGCAATGTCGATATCATCCATATTTTACGGCATTATTATTTATTGAAATTCAATTAATTAGTAGTATTCATTCTGGCCTTCTTCGTATTTTATCGATATAAGTTAACGAGTTGTCATTAGGGATAAGATAAACATCATTTACCGATTTTGACCATTAAACGTGAATTATGAACCCATATATGTGGTTTTCTTTTCTTATTGCTAATATTTGGATGAAATGATTACTATTAATTAAATACTCAAAGAGCCTACACCTGGGTATCGGTAAGTCATTGACTTATAATCCGACTCACGTGGTCCCCTTCCTGGTACAACGTTGTGAAATGAAAACAGCAATAAGTCAAAATAAACTGCTTTTTAATCATAATATTATTAACATTAAAATCTGTTCAATCTTATTTGCTCCACGTATTACTTAAATCACGTACTATTTATATTTCAATTGATGGTAGAAACCGATGACGTCACTGGAGGATGTCTAACCTAATTTGGATCAGTCTTCGAGTGGACCCCTGTTTTTATCTGCAGGAGCCGCTTTAACCACTCCAGTCAATTGGCTTATCTCAGCCGAGTTTGGAACAACATTTAGGGTAATTGTGTACACTAGCATGTTCTCTCTCGAGTTTTGATGATAACCGTTGGACGAAATTCTGAGAGTTTAGGACTATTTGACTAAACGTTACGGTCTTACAGAAACAATTTCCAAGAAATATTCAAAGTGAGTCAATGACATATTTCCACAAACTACATACATTTCTTAAAACCTTAGATAAAGTTTATAAAAGTTTAATCAAATTGAAATCAAAATTGCTTGTAAATGCGTTCTTATAATTAGCTCGTACTGTATACATTTTATATACCAAGATTTTCCGTCAATCATTTCTTAACTGAGCAAGCAAACAGATAATCAAACATTAGGAAATGACTTTTAAAAATACATTACCTCACAGATTTTTCCGACATGACTACTAACAACACAAATGTAAAAGGTAATGCACTTAAAATTCAAACTCACGACTTATCATCTTTAAAGACATTGATTAAAACTATTCCAAATGCCTCTGTTAATATTAAATTTCATGTGAATAAAAATAAATTTTATAACAATGAAGTTTGACATGTGGTTAAATAAATAATGTGCTGACCGACAAGATAATCCTTATGGATTAACACACTTCTATAGGACAACAATATTGTGCTAAATCCTGAAATCCAAGTCCTCAATTTACCGTTAAATCAAAAGTTTTCTCTAAGTTTTGTGTTCTTGTGTTGATTTTTAACGTTTAATCCCTCGTACTGACTGAATACTGTTTTTCTTTAATTTAAATATGTTTGTGTTGAACGCTCTAATCGTTTTAATTTCTAGAAAGGATGTCAACTTTTAAATTGTCGATTTTCTTTGAACTGCTACACAGTTCTATACAAATCCAGTGTATCAACACAAAGGCGAACAGATAAAAAGAACTCAAGACGATTTCGAACTGTAGGTATATTTCTTTATGAGGGAAATCCAACTCAACACCCATAACACCAGTTCCAGAACCAGGGTCTATACAAAGCCCCCATTCTTATAAAACATCTCAGGCTTTTCATGATTTCTTTAGATTGAAAAGGTAGACTTTTGAACCATAAATCTCAGAGAGGGATCTGTAATAAATTTTCCCAATACGTGTCATATAACCACTGTAATAATGCTCTAAAACAAACATAATGCCTGCTCTTTTGCCGAAGCACTCGTTTATACAGGGTCTTTGTGAAATTCAAAGTAGCCTATGCATGCAATAAATCTGCGATAGACAGTTTTAAAACACTTAAATCATTGTGTTCTGATTTTCATTTTGAGTGTGAAACTACTAAATTTTATCACCCTTATCTTCTAAAGGGATTTAAACATACTGCAGGTTTAGACAAATATATTGAGATCTTAACAAAATGTTTACCTTTTAACGATATACATAAAAATAAGAAAAAATTACCTTAAAAAAGGACAAGATAATGTACAAATCCTCTATAACATTTTCCCGAGAAATCGGTGCCCGTCTATATATCCATGATTTAAATAAAAACAAGATTATACACTGATTGAAGGTTGAAATCAGCGGAGCCTCGTTTTGCGAGTTTCTATGGACGCGCTACAGACACATGGCGTGTTTGTTTTTATTCCGGTTAAAGAATCGGCAGACCGAGCTAGTATTTAAAAATTAGAGCTATTGACAAATTCTCAAGTCAGGAGCCTTTAACGTTTCGCTTAAGCGCGAATTTAAATGTTAAGTGATCTGCAGGGAACTACAAAATAGGATTAAAATTCACTTCAAAAATTTAAATTGATCATCAGTTAAGTATATACACGAGTACGCTAATCAATGCCCACTGTTAACAGCACAGCATGGTTTATATTGAAGTATACAGCACTTCAAAGCCCATTAACGATCTAATTACAGAAATTAAAAG